CCCAAGCTGGGTAGACGACTGGTAGATGTTCCATACCTCGATCTGCTCTGCAACATTTCTGCCTTTGCATCTGTGAAACCAGCCCCCAAGTCGGACATTTTTCGTTGGAAGTTTGTTGTCAAAACGAAAATTGATTTCAGTATAGACAAATATGAAGATTTCATACAAATTCAGAGTCTATTCATTTTTTGATCTGTGAAAACTACCAGTTGGCAGGCTGCAGGGAGGTACTTCGGCTCCTGGGGGAGGGACCGATGGGAGCTCCGCCTCGCCTGGCCTCGCCGAGAACCTCGCCCGGTCGCTTGATATAGGGTACGTCGGTACGTCTTACTGAAGAAGCCATGGGACCGAAGGATTCGAGACTACCAAGTCCGGTCAAAGCAACCATTGGCTTCTGGAATCTAATCCCCTGAAAGAAAGATCAGGTTGGAGGGAAAACCCCTGAAGCCAACCATTCCCCTGAAGCATCTGAGGGGAAAAATCCGGAAAACAGATCAGGCTGGAGGCCTGGAATTGGTGAACGGTGTCACCCCGAAGAGACCAGACGCGACCCTGGACGGGACCGGTTGGGCTGTTTGGAGCGTTCGGGTAGACTCGAAACGTAGAGAAACATCTTCCATCAAAGCCTTTTTTCTTCAGATGAGATTTCTTCCCAGCTAAAGAAACTCATAGACTAGTGACTAGTGATCACACAAATGGATCGAAGAGGCGAAAAGCATTGACAAACATGGGGGTCTGTGTCTTTGGTGTCTTCTGTTGTCTTCACCATCCACTGACCTATTGCATAGAACCGCCCTGCACGGAACCAGCTGACCATGCCGGAAGATGCTATGTTCTGGGGCGACACCACATTTGGGTTCCGTGCATGTGTGTCGATACCCAGCAGTGTTTGGTCGTTCCAGACGATTCGTTCCATCTTCAGCAACAGGAGCTGTTCCACTCCACAGTGAAGAATTGGGTCAGCGTGTACCTCGAGATGGCTCAGAAGGCACGGCATGGGACAAAACCCTGTTGCCATGGCGCTTTGACAGTGCAAGGGTTAGGGTGTATCACTTCACCACTGACCGTCGGTAAAAGATGCTCAGGATTGTCAGTGCAAGGTCCACCGAACCATCATCCACTGGGCCCTGGTGTAGTATATACCCAATGCATGCAGGTCTGACGCCGTAACGGTGCTGGGGATTGCCAGGTCTGAAGCACCGGTGCTTGGAGGTCTCAGCACCGGTGATGTTCCCAGTCTTCGTTGGAACCCCAAGTCTTCGGAAGGATGGGATGCCCGAGCCTGTTGTGTCCTGTTGTGTTTTCTTACCCTTCCTCCAACAATCCTGGAAGTGGACAATCCCCTGTTTGTAGAAGAAAAGGGGGTGTTCCAGGGTCTCCTGGAACACTCCCTTTTCTTCTACAAACAGGGGATTGTTCACTTCCATGTTTGTTTCAGGGAGTGTATTTCTTTTTGTACCCCGGTCGAGTTTTGGTTTGCGTCTTCAGAATATTCTCGTCCGCTGACCATGGACAGAATCACTGCAACTGAAGGATACAACATGGTATAACCCTAGGAATCCGGGCCCTCCGCCCATGGAACCCGGCTTTGGGAACCGGGTCCGAACGGGTCCGAGTTCGGGCCGGCTGCTGCGAAGTTTCCAGCCGATCTCGTGGTATCCCCACATTTGATGTTGCAGGTCCAACCTTTGCTGCTCAACACGCATCCAACTTCGAGCGGTCAAACTCTTTGGAATGAAGACGTGTAGGTCACCCTGCAATGGCGTGCCGTGGAATCGGCAGGTGCCCTTAGAGGCCCGAGAACCACGAATCCATTGGGCGAAGCATCTGGCATTTGCGACTCTGGCGGCCATCTGGTTTTCCGAATCCAAACCCAATTCCGTCACACTCTCGGTCACGCGGGGGACGTCAAACGGGCACCTGACCGCGCTCCTGGCGCGCGGGGGGGTGACTCCCATGGTTTGCCCCCTGACCCGAGGGCAGAAGGCCCCGACACCGCCATGCCCGGGGCCTTCGGGAGTCCAGTCCGTTCGCCCCGCTGCCCAGATTGCGAAGAACCTCCAGAAGGACAAGACAGGAGGGGCTGGAACCACCTGCGAGAGCCACGCGTTGAGGAAGATGCAGTATATATACATGCATGTATGGACTAGACTCGACAATGTGACTATACAAAACCCTTGCAAACATCTATAGACTCGGATCTATATTACTATATACTTCATGGTCATGTTACTTTGTTGATCTTTTTTGTTGGTTTGATGATTATTCTGTTCGATCTTCAAAAGATCCTCTAGGCCCCTGCCTGGCCTGCCCACCTGGGTCCCACTTCAGAAAGGATCACCAACTTCACCAACTTCAAGTCGTTTCGGCATCCTCGTTTCGAGATCCTAATGTAGACTGGTTGAAAAATCAAACCTCCCACATGAAGAGGGTTTGGAGCTTCTGCCATCCAAACTGTTTAAGACATCGGACCGTGTGTTCCTCCTTTTCGGACCGTCAAAAGCGGGGCACCGAGGGAAAGGATGCGAACTCACTTCGGATCCATGCATCTCCCTTGGTCCTTCGCTTCGTTGGTTCATTCTGTTCATTCATCAGATGAATGGTTCGTTGGTTCATTCTGTTCATTCGTTTGTTCGTTTGTTCATTCGTTTGTTCATTCTGTTCATTGGTGGAACCCGGGATGTCGATCCAGAACTGGTCCACCAGATCCAGAACTTCGGAGTCTGGTCGACACCTGCAAAGAAGTCCTTCAGGACGCGTCATGAGCTGATTTTACATGAAAATAACCACAGTGCAAGGCACATTGGTCGTCAAAGAAGCAGTTTTTGCACTTTTGGGGTTCCCAGTCAGGGGCTGCCCGTATTTTGTATACAAAGGCCCAGGACAAGGGTGACTCCTATATTTAAGTACACCAGTCACTGTTGGAAGTGTTCTCTTCAATCCGAGTGGGCTCTGGGGAGCGTTTCAGCACTTGAGCGTTTCACATGCCGGATGGGTTCAAGGTGTCTGGATTCAACGCATGAAAAGAACGACCAGAAGTCCATCCCCCCCACCTCCGCCAAGCAAGATGATGGACAAAGCCTTTGAAAAGGCCACCAAAACACAAGTACAAGTAGCCTTTGCACCCTTTGCTGCTTCCTTGCTTCTAGTGCGACCGCGCATCGTGTGATGTGTTTCGATCTTCCCATTTTCGTGGGGCTGCGTCGGCGGGTGCACGCAGGCGAAGGAGCCTGATTCTTCGAAGTCATGGTGACTGAACGGCAGCCCAAGTGCTGATGTTTCACCAAGTGGGCAGCGAAGAGAAGCTGCCGAGCTAGTTAGGACAAGAGGTCAAGGTTTGAAACCGTTACCCGTTACCCTAGTCTGCAGCCGACCATTAAAGAACATGGTTGACTGACCTGATTTTGCAGTGTCGAAGCTTTAGTAAAACAATGGTGATTCGCGAAGTAAAGACCATTATAAAGTAATGGCATTGGTTGTTGGAACCCCAGGGAATACAGTATTTTTAATGGGGACAAGGCAAAGCACCCTAGGCAACTTAAATTATCTTAAATTAACAAATTAGTGTTAGCATAGGTAGAGCCTGCGCAAAGCATTGGTAAAGGGAACACAAAACCCCAATGGTTCGGGTTGGTTTCCCACTGACATGCATATATCCATCCAACATGTTTGCCCTCCAAATGATCCATATGTTGTTGACCTCAATGTCTCAGACAAGCAGTCCAGAATGGTTCGCAGCGATGCGCGCGAGCAGCAGACAACGTGTCACTTGGGAAAAAAGACTGCTGGGTTTACTCATCCAGTAAACCTTAAAGGACACCTACTCTGCATCTGACAAAAGCTCTCAACAAGGAGCGTGGCGGCGCCAGTGTGTTCAAAGCTCCACCAGGACCGGCCAAGATCACTTATAGCAGCATACCTTTCCCTGCTGCACTTCCAAGTCGTCTACACATCAGTGCCAGTACCCGGGTTTTGCTGAGTTCTGGTACCCGGCTCAGCCAGGCTGAGCTCCTGTCGCATGTTGGGGCAGGTTTGATTTTGTGTCGGCTTCCGGTGTGTCCGAAAAAGATCCCTCAAAGTCAAAACCCTTCAGATGTGGTCGGTCTTTCATTTGGACATCTAAAAATGCCTAAGGTAGTGAAGATCTCAAGGGTTCGATTTGCTTTCAGCAATTTGCAACCAGGTATTTGTTTACTAGTCCGGCAAGTTGGAGCCACCTCTTGGTGGTTTTTTGCGATGGCTCGCCATCGTTCTATTTCGCGTCAGGGAGGTTGCTGGATGCTCAGCTGATGGATTTGGCGGGTCGTTGTAAAGCGAACACGTGGAAAGAGTTCATTTACAGCAAAACTATAGTACCTGGATTGAGTAACTGTTTCAAAATTGAGGTCCTAGTGGTCAAACACTTCTCAGCTGATGGTAACTCTTTGGCGGGTCGAGCGACCGAGTCACTCAATCCAGGGTGGTTGGGCTCGGGTCGACCGTTCGTCGTCCCGCCGGGCTGGGAGCTCCAGGAAGGTCACGATGAACACCACGACCCGCTACTCCCCCGGTGTTTGACACAACCGGGCGAACGGCTGCCTGACCTGACTGGAAGACGATGTTCCGAATACCAACCCCCCGTGGTGAACTCAGGTTCCATGTTGATCTTCCAGGGTATAGTTCTTGTTTCTTTTTGTCCGATTCCTGACGTATTCTAATCCCTTTGCCTTTGCCAGTCATATCTACACCAAAGAGACCGATAACAGAGGCAATCATCTCAACGCTCAATGCAAGCTCTCAACGATTGGTAGCATGCTCCGTTGGAGAGATTCTCTCGCTGATTTCCACAACATCCCTCACTGCCTGGTCAGAAGGTAATTGGACCCTCAAAGCCTGCATAAATAGTCTCCAATTACCTTCTGAGAAGGTATGTACTGGAGATGGTCATATACAAAACCAATAGCTTTTACTGGGTCTTTGGACTAGTGGGGATTCAAACCCATCTCCGGTGTTCGCCGGTTTCAAGCCGCGATTTCCGGTGGCGAGATGGCTTCGGTGTAGCCCATCGCGTGCGCTCGCACGCGCGGGCGCCGCTCGGCTGGAAGGTCGGGCTGGTTAGGTCTGTGAGAGTTGTGGGGCCACTGGGAGGAGGTTTCAGGCGCCACCTTTGTTTTGGGGAAGATGAAGACTGCGAATTGCTGGCCGGAGCAGCGCATCAGCACAGCTTTTGCAAGGACAAGGTGACCAGGGAATCATTTGCGAATTCCCTCGTATCCCCTGGGGTAAAGCCATTGGGCTGTTTCAGAATAGAGACCCACGTGTTAAGGGTTCTGGCTTGCTGTTAGGAAACAGCTTGCTGACGCTTGCGGGTTGCAGATGCTGCACTGGAGGGAACTGCAAGGGGTTCCAAGAGCAAACTTTTGACGGATACAGCAGGATTTTGTCGTGATTTTCTGCTTGCATACCCCCAAGCCCATCCCTAGCCTTGAATGGCGACTTTTTGTCTCACATACTTGTACTACGGTGGATTTCAATTTGCCTGTTACAAAGCCATGAAGCATGACGAGGTTGCAGTGGCCTGTCAAAGTCTGTTCATGAAGCACGTCAAATTCCAAAGACAATCAAAGACTATACATTTTCTGATGTGAAGTACAGTAAAGGCCATCCCTGAAATCAGGTTCCCGTTCGCTCTGACCATTCTTTTAACTCGTCTTTGACTCTCACGACGCCACAGCTCCATGTTCAGCGTTACCGGAACGGACTCGTCACTGGGTCGAGAAACAAAGCATGGGGCTCGAGATGCTGGACCAAAGACAGGTGGAAACGTGACCTGGAAGAGACTCCCTGGAAGAGCCGAAACGAACCTGAAACCACTATATAGGTGGTAGAGGAAAAACATCGTCTTCGTTGCAGGTCCATGCCGGTCGCCCCGGTCTCGTGACCCGGGTGTAGGCCCCAGTGCCGGTCCAACCGAACGGTCCCCAGGTGGAGAGATGCCGCCCCGGTCCGCGGCGGGTGGAGGCGAAACGGAGCGCGATAGGAGTTCCAGTGGAGACCAAGCGAGTGACATTTGACTCGGCAAAGCAACTGCATGAGCCTGAACAGTATCCAATTGCTCATTGAACTCGTGCAGTGAACTCTTCCAAGCCAAACTGGATCGTCCCGGCCGAGCCGACCACCGGAGGTGACTTCGCCGCGGGTCCTCCAGAGAGAAGGAGCGGGCCCACTTCGCCCGGGCAAGCGGGATCTCGGGGAAAACGCTCGATACCGTCCAAGAGTTGGGCGATTTCACCATGCTTCACTTTGGGTTGCCAGGTGTCTATAGTAAAGGCACACGGCCGGGCGTCAGGTGAAATGCCATCGGGACCCGAACGGCTTTTGGACGCATCACCACCGGTCACGGGTCTCTCGCGGTGACGGACTGATCTTCGTAGAGAAGTCCACTTTCACCGACCGACCGACTCGGTCGAACGCCTCAGTCTTTCTTCGTGCCGATGTCCATTGCTGCCATATATGCCTACATTGACCCCTCCAGCCACCCCAATGTAGGAATATATGGCATACATGGAGTGTCTGGGATTGCTTGAACGTCAACTCACCTAACCACCCAGCTCTTGGGCCGCAGCTGCGCAGCTAAACCGACTAGCTCACGCCGGCATAGCTCGACCCTCTGGCCACAGGCACGTCGCGGCCGGAGGGCGACGACCGGAAGCTCGATTCGACTCCATTCGCCCGGGGTCCAGCTACGATGGTTTTGATGGAGAACAAATCCCAGATCACTCCATGTCTGTCAAAAAAACTGCCGCCCCAGACTGAGTCCGTCATGGCACCACCCCTGGCCGTTTCTCGGCAGTCCGTCATGGCAGTCCCAGACAGGTCGTGTCTGGGAATGGTGCCCAAATAGATCCGGGGGCCACGATGTTCGGAACCCGGTGGCCGGACCGTTCGGTCGAACACCTGCATTGGCGCCGAAACTGCAGGAGGTTGGCCACAGAGGTGTGGAGGGGGGTGTGGGGTACGCTGTGACGGCTGAATTGATTCGGGGGGCCTGATACGGGTTTTAAAAAAACCGTGTGAAGCAGGTGAAGGTGTATTGGTTGATGGATTTTGACGGTTTCTGTTTTGTGTTTTTCTAAATTTCACCAGGTCCTTAACATCATCGTTGATGCGGTTTGTATTTGTGGAGAGCATGTTCTCTTGGGAAGGCGCTGCTGCTATCCTTTGCTTATTTAGAGGTTGCAGGGCTTTTCTTCAAACTTCTACGTCCCTGTTTTTGTGAAACGTTTTGTTCCCAAAAGACCCAACAGTACGAACATGAACACCATTTTCACAAAGGAGCAAGAAGACATCACGATGGGCATGCTGCAGGCTTGTTGTTTACTTTTGAAAGCATGAACGACGCACACGCACACGCACACACACACACACACAACACACACCATTTATATGGATGCATGGAGCATATGCCCTGCATCTACATCGACCCTTGAAACCAACCGCCTCCCGAAACGGCCCGTAGGCTGCCGCAACTCTGCCACATCAGTCGTGTCTGGGGGGGGAAGTCTTCGTTCTAAGTTCCTTCCGTGCCTTCTTTGCCGACCTTCACCGAAGACACCAGGATGAGGCTTCAATCCATTGTGGTGGCGCGCTGCCGCTGGCGGACCCAGCAAACGAAGTCCTGCGTCGGTTGAAGCTGCAGCTGGTTGAAGCTGCAGCCGTGTCTTATGGGAGTGGTCTGGAAAAGCAAGAAGATGAGATCGGTTTGGATGAAGACTTCTGTGCTAATAATATGCCTTGACTAGTTGATGACATAGGTCAACAGGTTCATGACATGTTACACCCCGTGTATGTCTTTGAAGTAACTTCCGACTTGATTTGGTTTTGTGCGTGCGAAGGGCGAGGACATGGTGCAGCCTGAGGGCAGCACTGCCTGGGATAATTATCAACCAATACTCACAAGAACAATCATCTATCAGTCAGATAGTGCCATCAGTGTGCCCTGAATAAACTGCCATCTCTCCTGTCTTTGTCAATCTCTTCAGCTCTTTACCTCAACTTCTCAACTGTGATCTTTCTCATGCGGCCTAAACCAACCATCTGCCGGGCTTTTCTCCTATGCCTCCACCCTGGTGTCGTCGGACGCGGACGCTCTCCAGGCCCGAACCGATGCCCTGTTCGGGGCTTTGTGTGGAGTTACTCTTCCTCGACGAGGAGGGTGGTTACCGGATGATGGGACGGGACCGTGAAGGACGGGACGAAGACCGTGGACCGGTGGGTGTTTTCGCTTGGGAGTGGAGCGGGGGCCGGGTGTTTTTTTTTGTTTTATTTACATATATAACAAGGAAGTCACGGGAAAAGAGGGGGGGTTGAGAAGACCATCAAAGATTGGTAGAAGGATATTGAATATGATGGGTTGGTTTAGATTGTTTGCGTTTCTTTCCCAGCACTTGGCAAAGCAGCAAGGTTGGTCAAGGATCTGTCTGCCGCCACCAGCTTAGAGGTTTCTAGTTGCCACACTGACACTACTGCGTTCGTGCGTGGGGTGTGCGCTTGTCATGTGCCCGGGAGCGAGAGAGATCATACTGACACATTGAGAACATTTCAATACAGAACGGACCGATGGACAGTCTTTGTCACGAAAGCTAGCATCAGCTAGCTGGAGTTGCTCTTGCTTTAGCAAGTCAAGGGCTCGCAGCCTCGAGAATCATGAATCACGTGAAAACTTCACGTGTAGGGGGGGGGGGCCCCCCCCCCCCCCC